GGTGGTGGCAGAGAGACAAACCACAGAACTTATATGCATGTGTGCATGAACAGTGGACATGGACAACAAAGCTGGGAACAGGGCAGGGAGGGAGTGGGAGGGGGGAATCTGGGGGGGGGGAACATCTGTAACAAAAATAAATTAATTACTTCAATTATAATAACTAAATAAATAAATAAATGTAAATGGGTTAAATGCTCAAAACTAAAGACACAGGATGGCTGAAAGAACAAGAAGACAAGACCCTTACACATGCTGCCTACGAAAGACCTCCTTCAGATCAAAGGACATACATTGACTGAAAGTCATGGCATGAAAAATGATATTGCATGACAATGGAAATTTTAAAAATGTGGGAGAGCAATACTTATATCAAACAACATAGGCTTAAATCAAAGGTTATAATGAAAAACAAAAAATAGTACCCAGGAATTCCACTTCTGGGTACATATCCAGCGAAACATAAAACACCAATTTGAAAAAGATATATGCAATCCTATGTTCACTGCAGCAGTATTTACAATAGCCAAGATATGGAAAAAGGTGTGGTACTGCAAACAATGGAATATTACTCAACTAAAAGAAAGAATGAAATCTTGCGATTTGCGACAACTCAGAGAAAGACAAGTACCATATGATTTCACTTACATGAGGAATCTAAAGTACAAAATAAACAAACAAACAGAAACAAAGTCATAGGTGCACAGAACATTATGACCATTGCCAGGTGGGAGGGAGGTTGGCGGGAATGGTGAAAAAGGAACAGGGATTAACCTTTACAAATCGCCAGTTATAAAAATGGTCATAGGGATTAAAGAACAGCATGAGGTAGACAGTCAATAATATTGTAAGAATTATGTATGGTGTCAAGTGGGTACTAGACCTACAGAAGTAATCACTTTGTAAGTTATATACATGTCTAATCACCATGTTGCACACCTGAAACTAATATAATATTTTATGGCAAATGTAATAAAAAACTTCAAATTATTTTTTTAAAACAGCGGAAGATTAGTTCTATCTATGGAGAGATGGGGAAATGACATACAGTCCAAAAAAAATATCAGCCCCACAAAAACCATCTATGTCCAACCCCAGCCACTCCAGCATTTATCATTAATTCCACCTGGTGGGGGATTTTCAGTGCTGATTCAAGACACCGAGGTACTCCTGTTCCTCACCCATAACCTCAGCGTCTGTGCTTCCCATTTCAGAACCAAACCAAAAATTAAACAAACCCAACAACATCTACCTTGTATATATTATATAGCAATTTTATTTAAAATATATAACATTTGAAAATATAAAACCAGGCACAGCTCCATTCTCCCAACAACACACAGTACAATCAGCACAACGCACTGTCACTGTATTGGGGAAAGGCTGTGAAGGGGCAGTGAGAGCCACTGCAAACCACTTGCACTAAGACAGGCAGTTACTGGGGCATTCAAGCAAGTGAGGTTGGCACATCCTGTTGGCAGGAGAATTCGCTAAGAGAAAAAAGGCTGGAAGGAGACTCACCTTAAGAAACGAAGGCCCAGAAAGTCTTGGGAGGGACCAAGGGAGGCAGGAGGCAGCTGTGGGGTCAGCTGGTGGCTACAATGATCACATGGTTCCCTCTAGTGTGTTTGAACATCACATGGAATACAGAAAAGAGTGTCAGGTCATCCTCTCAGTGAAATATGAAGCTGAGATGAGCTTCATCTCGGGGCTAGAAGCATCCAGAGCCTTCAGAAAAGAGGGAGAGCATGTCTAAAGGGTTCAGGAATGTCAGAGACATGTATCTCCTCAGAGTGAGCCTCCCCTGTCTTTCAGGTCTCAGCCCCCCACCCTACTCAGGGACAAGGCCCTCCCACGTCCATCTCTGCTTTACTGATCCCTAAAGTACTTTCTGTCCCAAAGGATTCAGGTTTCCATGGAGATAGGTTGGTTGAGAAATAGTGACACCACCAACCAGACAGATACCCAACACGACCCACCACACTGGGGCAGATGGTCTCAGGGACACAAGGCTCTGCAGAGTTTTACTACCGAAACCCGTTATGAATGGTGTTTTTGCCAACCAGCCGGCACGCACCCCAAAAGAGTCAGGAACACCAGTACCTGCCCAGCTAATTCTTAGGGAGTTGGCCTGGGGGAACCCTTGACCACCTGACCTCCTGTCCAGGAAGGCCCACACCTTTCTGACTACTGCTTGTCAGGACAGCAGGACATCTGTGAGAGTTCTGCCCTGCATGGCTATCTGTGTCCCAGGCCCACCCATCGAGGGAACCCGATGCCAAGACCATATACATGCTAAAGCAGTGTTCACCTGCCTAAAAGATAGACACCCCAGAACCCATCTGCATGAGAATCGCTGGCCCTAAAGAATGGACCAAAATGATTAAGAGCGATGCAATAATTCCGAATGACCAGGGTCCATGAACACATACAAAGGCCCACAGCCCCAGATGCCCTACTTGCAATTTACGTAGAGCTTTCCATGCATAAGTCCACTGATACCTGAATATTCTTGTTTCACACACACATACATCCAGACACAAACTAGAGGTGTGCTGAGTGCTGACTAACACTCTGAGGGGGTACAGGAAAGACTTCATCTGTGGTGTGTACCTGGTATAAATGTTCCCAGCATGACTGATTTCAAGCTACCCACCTGATGAACACAGAGCCCAGAAGAGATGTGCACCACTGACTATCCCAAGCTAGTATGAGCCCGCTCCAGCCCACCCCACCCCCTTTCATGTAATATGTGCACACAAGCCACTTACACACTGAGTAGGGCCCTCAATTCCCACCCCAAATACATAAGCAAATATTAATTTATATATATGAACACACACATAAATTTCTACCCTCACCCTCAATGAATATACACATAGACCATCTCTTACAACCCAAATTGTTAGACAAAATCCTAATCATCCTGCATATTGACATGTTACACCTACAACTATATATTCACACATAACATGGGTCTGAATACAAACATATGCAACCAACACATCACCTAGATGTACACACTGAATACCTCTAAAACCGCCAAGTACACAATTGTCTCATGTGCCACCCAAAGAAAGATCCATACACAATTCCTCAGCCCTAAAATATACATTCTCCAGGATTCCTGAACACACACACGACCAACAATCTTTTCATTTCCAAACACACAAAGCAAACTCTCGTATCCCCTAGAATACACGCCCATCATAAGCTCCAGGAACTCAAATACATACACAGTCACAAACAATCTACACTTATCAAACACATAAATCCACCTCACACACTGATTAGACCCTTATAAGCAACACCAACAAATTCTGCAAGCATCACATTCTGGAACAGACAAAATGAGGGCCCTAAGCCTCCTGATACACTCACAAATCCCAAATACGCACACCCACAAACCACTCGTGAATATATACACCACACTCTCAGATACACACAAAAACAGTGACAATTTCTTAACTCGCACTGATATACATACATAATTCTCACACACTTAGAAAAACACACACACAGGTAAATATTCCCAACTCCTGAATACAAACACCCCTCAAACACTATACATTATGCCACCTCTTCAGAATACAACTGCGTCACCTCTTCCCTCAATGTATAACAAAAGCACACTATATTTTTTTCTCCAGCCTCATCCTGAATATACACACAGACCACTGCTTACTACCTACAACCAGACACATGTAGAAACATTCTAGCATTCTCCAAAGAAATGCATTTTTAAGTATACCTAACAACCCCATATATCCTATGAACAAACTGTTAATTCATGCACCCGATGTTAGATATACACACGAACCAGTATACATACTCAAGACACACAGAAATGTCTCCAGAAAACCATATGTCAAACAACTTCCAAAAACCAATTATTCCTAGCTAAACAGTCACTTCTCACATCCACAAATACGAACAAATATCCATGTCACACACCCTCGATACATATAGCTACGATACTCCCACTCCCCTGTATATACACAGACACCCATCTCTCTAACAAATACACACATACTCACTTTCCAAAATATATAAGCCTAATAGCCCCCTACTGAAATGCATAAACACAGAGCTCCAGCAAATAGTCCTCCAAATGGCCACAGCCCTTAAATACACGTGTAAACTCAATATAAATGCAACTCTCCACCACCCCTCATATACCCACAATTACCCAGTACCCTACAAATGTGCAAACATATCACCCTATACCCTTTGTCCCAAATATATATGTAATGCCACACGACCTACATATATATATAACCCCACACTTCCAAATTCTCACACAGAATTAACTCTTCCATCTCACAGAACACACAGTCACACAAACACCACATCACACCTCATATACTACATCCACCAGTCCTGTAAAATAGTCTGCATTACCCTCTGCACACCGAAACAGGCATAGACAGCTGATGAGAAGCACAAGAAGAAATACGCATAACCATACAACAGGCCCTGAGTACACGATGGTCCTTCCACATCCCCCAAATACAAAACAAAAGATCGTGCACCCAAGCTGATGAACAGCAGCACTTTTCCTAACACTGCCCCGTGCATATGCAGGTAATCTTTACAAACTGGCCATCATCTGGGGGTGGGCATATTTACCTGTTTTTTTCCTCCTGTGAGTTGGGGGATTTCTCCGATGGCCGACTTGGAAGGATTCCCTGCACATGCACGGGGCACTGTAAGGAAAAGTGCTGCTGTTCATCAGCTTGGGTGCAATCACTGAGTCGCCCTCCCAGCCAGTTCCCAGGGCCGCCAATTCCCTGGGTCAGCTGTGTGCCCTGTGGGCCTGAGCACAGCTCAGCCGGGCTGGGAGCCCACAGTGTGAACAGGGAAGGGCGGTGACGCCGGAGGGGAGGCGTCTGAGAGCATCTCCCAACTCCTTGTTTAAAGTTAATCTTTTATGGCTATTTAGAGAGAGAGAAGGAGAGAACATACTCTAATCAAGTCAACTCCCCGGCCTGGGCCCTTACCTCCTTCTTTACATAACGGACCCTGGAGGCCGCCATGCCAGGCCCCGCGCGCAGCCAGGACGGCCATTGCGGACGCTCCTTGCCGCCTAGCGCATGCGCACCTACCAGACCAACTGCCACAACGGATGCTGGGAGCCGTTGCAGGACAGAGCCCCGCCCCCAGGGGGCGTGCTCGTGAGTCCTGGCGCGAGGCACCCTGGGAACTGGCCCAGGCTGTCTCTGAGGAATAGGAAAGAAGTGGAGGGTGGGGGCTCCATGTGAAGCTTCGGGGGCAAATCCTCCTCCTCAGGAACCTCCGTGACTGTCCTTCATTCCAACCCGCTTGAGTGAAATGAGCACTTACGACATCTATGCACTTAGCCACCACCCTCATGAAAGAGCCTTGCAGAGGTCCTCATGCACATGTCCTCAGATAGGGGCAGTGCCTTCGTGCCCTTTGGACTGCATCCCCATGGTTTCTGAAAGAGTAGGTGCTCTCTCCCAGCAAGTCTGGGTGCCCCATCACACATTCTGGATGAGAACTTTAGACCTGGAAACACTGTGAGAGATACTTTCCCCTGACTCCATTCCTAGAGTTTTTCCAAACGTATTTACTGTACCAGAATGTTTGTCTTAGTGTATTCACTTAGGACGTGGAGGGTTTTCAATAAATGTGGATTCACAGATATCACCATTGCAAGGTGGTTGTTATAACATTGGTCGAGACTTGACTGTCTGGGCCAGTTTTCATTGACATAGCTGGTAGTATGGAAACAGTTTCACCTTCTCTTCCCTCCTTTTTTGTATTATGTTGCAGAATTCCAATTGACAATAAAACATATATATATACCGGCAGAATGAACTTACTGATTTCCTTGAGTTTGTCATACTTTCCAAAGAAATGGAAATCATTTGATCCTCATCCTGGTCATTTGCAAGAGGGGAAAGAGGCAGGAGAAAGACTCATTACTGCATTTTCCATTTTGCAACATTTGACTGTGAACTCTGCCAAGGCATTATGTATTTAAAATATTACAAAAGGTTAAAATTAAACATCGAACAACACAATACTCCGAGAAGCAGAAGGTAGTGATTTCTGGTCTTGCCGTGCAGGCTACAGGGCCTTGCGCTATTGGACCAGAGCAAAGGGGATCGTGTGTAAAGCTGGGCCGGCTGTGGTCTGCGGAGCTTCCAGGACTGGACGGAACATGGAGTCAGAGGACTGCTTCCTAAAGAATGATGACCACACAGCAAGCGAACATGCTGGGTCTGCTGAGTCAGTCCTAATTCAAACACTGGGTTCCCTGTGGCCATAAGTTTCCATTATATTTTTCAGGCTATATGTTCTGCATTTTGTTCAGAAAGTGTAGCGTGTGTTGAAGTTAAGTCATGAGCCAGAAAGGAAGCAGGTTGGGGGGCCCAAAACTAGCTTGATGGATCAAGAACTGAAATTAAGGGCACGTCAAGTCAAGCCTCTGTGCTGTGAACCTGAAATCACCGATGTATACATTGCTAAAGAGGCACACACCAGTGGTGTTGCCACTAAAATGTGAAAGGAACTGCTGGTTCTTGCCTACCTGCAGAGCCCTCCATGGAATGTCTCTCCAGCCCCTCCCACCCAGGCTCACCTGCCCCTGCCCCTCCCCCACTGTAGAATGTCTAGGGTCCTGCATTCTGCTGTTTAAATTTAAATCCTAACTCCTTCACTGGATGCTGAGCGTCTGTTGGAGCAGCTTGCTCTCTGGATCCTGGATTGAGTTTTCTCATTGTGGAGGCTACTAGGCGGCAGTGGTCAGTGCCTGAGCCTATAGGAGGTAAGCCTATAGATTGGAGGGGGTGTGTTTTATAGGTTGAGCTGCTCCTCTAAATTTGGGATTCAAATGTGACACTTCCACTGGGGAAACACAGTTTGGACTGAAGTAGGGGAAGGAGACAGCACTGGGCCTCCAAGGACCTGTGACCCGGGGAGGCTGGGACCCAGTGGAAACCTGTGACCACACTGGACAGGAGGGCTCCTAGGAGGTGGATCAGGATGACTCAGGGGAAATGTCTGGGTGTGGAGAAGGGAAGGCAACGGGCACGTGGATTCTTTCTAGAGGGAGACAAGCCCCTTTGACCTGTGTGTGTAGGAACCAGTGGGTTATGTGGTAGCGGCTCAGGGAGGGTCATGGGGAAGCTGGTCCTGTGTCCTGTTCCTCTGGCACCTGGAGCTTGCCCCACAATATCCTTCTACGGGATTTGAGCTGAGTACACTAGAGCTGATGGGGCAGTGGGAAGAGGTGGTCTTAGCCAGAAATTTTCCCCGTGTGGCCAAGTCTTCAGTGAAAGGTCCTCCCCGAGGGCTAGGCTGGAAGGTACTCCAACTGCTGCAACCCAGAACTTCTCCCCTGTTTCCAGCCCAGAGCCCCCTTCTCCTCAGTCCAGGGAGCTGCTTGTTGTCTTGGGCTCCACACAGGCAGGGCAGCCGGGTGATGTCCACCCAGATAGGGCTCGGTCACTGAGCTGTCCTGAATTGTCCCCCCACTGTGGGCACTCAGGCCTTCAGACCTATGTCCTCCACCGTCTGTCCCATGGCACACCCTCTCCCCTGCCTTTCACCTTTGAGCTGAGGGGTTTGCTCACAGACCACATCCCTGCTTTGGGACAGAAAACAGATGTAGAGCGTGGTGGGTTCTGCCATGGAACATCTGTGAAGGCGGATTCCTGTATAAAGGGGGAAGTGGAGCAGCCCGAGGCAGGAAGACGATCTTCTGTGTCATTAGGAAACGTCCGAGGACGCCTGTGCTGAGCCGTTAGGGGCCTGCGGGGTGTAGCTTGTTCTCCTGGACTAGGGTCTGCGTGAGTTCCTCTGGGCAGGGCTGTGTTCCCGACCACTGTGTCCCACTGACACCTGGCTCACACCTGGTTCTACTGCGCCTTCACTTTCCACTGTTGGGAGCTGGCAGGGAAGGACCACAGACAGTCTGCAATCCCACAACCAATGTACCATGACAGTGCAATGGGAGTTTCTGGAAACCTCCACTTTGCCCTATTCCCTGGTCCTCCTCTAGCGCTCTGCAGCCATCGCTGCCTGTGAAATGACAGAATCTCATGGACGCAGCATCTACTTCCCAGAGCCCTCTCCTGGGAACAGAGCCCCTGAGGGTTTCCATTCATCTGGGGCTGGAGTAGCAGAACCTGGCTCACGTTAAGTGTTCGCTGTTGTTGGTTCCGACACATATGTGCATGCTAAGTTGGTGTGTTAAAGGCTTACAATAGGGTTCCAGCTACCTTGTTGTGCAGAGATATTACTCCAGTGTTTTTGTGTTGTTCTACAAGACAAGAAAAAATAGAGAGTGATTTCTTTTGTGTGTTTGTCCTCACCAGAGAATATTTTTCCATTGACATTTAGACACAGTAGAAGGGAGGGAGGGGGAGAGAGAGAGAAACATCGATGTGAGAGAGAGAGATTGATTTTTTGTCTTTCACACCAACCCAACCAAGGCCTGGTATCGAACCTGCAACCCTGGTACATGCCCTTGACCGGGAACAGAGCTGGTGAACCTTCAGTGTGTAGGCCAGTGATCTCAGTTTGGAGCAAAACCACCAAGGCAAAAGAGAACCATCTTTATTGAGAAAAAAGAAGACTGAGGAGGATATGAGGCCCTAATACTTAGACACTGCCTCTTCTCAAAGGCCCTTTGGGAGCCTGGAACTTACCTTGGAGAATGTCACTACCACTAGTGTGTCTGCCCAGGGTCGTTTCCACAGAGCAGATTTCTGCCCAGTGCCATGTCTTGGGAACAGCCTCTGAGGCTGGCAGGGTCGGTGCCAGGGAATCCTTAGGGAGTGTCTCAGAATCAGCACTGGCTGGGGCTATTTCTATCTGCAGAGAGTGACAGGGAGCTCGGCGAACGGGGAGCCAGCTCTCCAGTGGATTAATTCTCGACTGGAGGTCAGAGCGTGACAATGACCTGAGGACATTCGCAAACTCCACATTTGCCCCATCCAAATGGCCCTCACCTGTTGAGACTCACCTCTCTAATTCCCCAGTGGCTAAAGGGGTCCCAGAGCACCTCAGTCCTGTTTGTTGATTCTCCTTCTCCATTCACCCCTTTCCTTTGTCTCAACAGCATCTGCAGTGCTGGGAGCGGATGTGACCATGGACCCTGGTGCCTCCAGGACTCCTTTCATGGAACTGCCCGTTCCTCTGCCCACTGCTGGCCCCACACACAGGCCACCTTTCAAGCAGCACCTTTCGACCCTCACGACCCAGTCATTCCCTCCTGACCACCCCCTGGTGCTACCAGCTTTGCCCAGGACAAATGTGGTGGCAGGAGATGCTGGTCAAGACCTAGATGGGTCTGGGGCCTGTAACATCATAGACCAGGTCAGGTCAGAAGTGGAGCAACCACAGTGCCCCCAGACTCAGATCATTGACCTGACACAGGCTCCCATCCATGGGAGTGCTCCAGGTGCCATCTGTGGAGGTGTGGGTCCTGCACCCCTTATCTTGGAAGCCTCAGCAGTGGAGAGGATCATGCCTGCCTCGGCTTTTGGAAACACCCAGGCAGGCAAGAAAGGCTGGTGTCCCGGCCTTCCTCCTCCAGCTCCACCAGCAGCTGCCCAGCTGGCTCCCATCATCCCCCCAGTGAATGCTGGGCCACGGTCGCATAGAGCTTCCAGGGAGGGTGGCCTGGCCACCTCCCAGCCCAAGGCCCCGCCGGATGACTCCTGTAACCCCAACATTCTATACAGGGACTTCCGACATTGGCAGCTCTTCAAGGCCCTGGCCCGGGGGCACCTTCCCCAGAGTCCTGATGCGGAAGCTCTTTCCTGCTTTCTCCTGTGAGTGCACTGGGCAGGGCACGGGGCCCCCCTGGAGCTTCCCATCCAAGAGGAACGTGGGAGGGACATGAAGGATGGCTGCTCCTGGGGTCCTGGCAGGAGGGCTGAGGGGGATGTCCAGCTCTAGGGTGCAAGTGGACAGTCTGCCTCCAGTCCAGGTTCATGTCTGGTGTGAATGTGAGGCAGTAACAGCAGTAGCTGGGAAGGTTGTCTATGCGCAGACACCTCCTCCCCACTGTCGGAGCTCAGATGCTGGGTGGTGTGGGAACGGGTGCTCCTCAGAGCCAGGTGGTCAGGATGGTGGAATGCAGGCTGTAGCCTGTGACTGACCCTGAGGTATTACAGGCCAGTGCTCCGGTCCCTGTCCCGCCTGAAGCCCACCATGACGTTGGAGGAGGGAATTGGGCAGGCCATGCAGGAATGGCAGCACACAAGCAACTTTGACCGGATGACCTACTACGACATGGCAGCAAAGTGAGTCAGGGTGCTTGATCCCCACAGCTTTGGGTTGGTTGCTGAACGCAGTCAGGGTTAAGGTTAAGGGGGTGATCACAGCAGGGTTGAGGGGTGCTGAGGTCAGGGCAGGGTCCAGCTGTGGTGGTGCTCAGCAGAGAGGATGTAGGGAAGAGGGCTGTCGGTCAGCACACGGTCCCTACAGCCCAGAGGCCCTTCCCTCCTCTGGAAGCCTCTCCCTCACCATTTGACCTGGGTTCTTCTGCCCTACGTCCCCTGGGAGCTCCACCCTCCTCTGATCTTGAGCCATCCTTGGCTGGACATGACGGCTCAGGACAGGTTGGGGTGAACGTGCCAAGCCCAGTGGGGTCAGACTCCAGCCAGAGAGGCTGTGCAGGGAACGTCCCCACCAGGCAGCCTCCTTCCTGCTCGGTGCCTTGGCCCTGACAGCCCCAAGGCCCTTGCTCTCCCACCCCCCTTACTGCTGCCTTTGCTGGGCTCTGGGTGCCTCCTTCTCAGCAGAGCCTGTGTCTCCCTCTCCCCCAGATTCATGGAGTTTGAGGCGGAGGAGGACATGCAGCTTCACAAGTTGCAGGTGACGAAAGGGGCACAGGGTCAGCCTCTTCCAGCCCCACCGAGACCTGATCCTCAGGGTTCCCCCGCCACAGAGGTGGGCCCGCAGCCAGGTACGCCAGGACGTTCCCACAGGAGTCCAGGGAGAAAGACAAGAGGGAAGCCGGACAGGTCCCTGCCCCACACTACCGGTCCTTTTCCTTCAAGGATGCTTTGGTATTTCAAGTGAAACACCATGAATGCCAGGGCCTCAGCTGCCCTTAGTCATCATCGGGTCTGGACCTGGTCACCTCTCATAACCCCTCTCCTATCTCCCTGCCAAAGGCCCCAACATACAGTGTGCTGAGAAGTGGGTTGAAGGGGGACCCTTGGAGAATCGGTGGCTAGACATGTCCTCACACATGACTGTCTTGCATGCTCCCTCTGTCCTCTCCCCTCACAGGGTCCCAGGGCTTCAGGTGGTCCTGACCGGCCGCACCCATGTGAATGCCCCCCAAACACTGCCCTCCCCTTCACATGCTCGGGAGGTGGAAGCTTTATCCCCTCACGCTCCTTCCTCTTCCCTCTCTGCCCAGCGAACACTCCCAGCACCCAGTGTGCCCACCCACTGCAGCAGCCAGGGGAGACCGAGTCACCCAATGGCATCCCCCCTGAGGCCGTGCAAGAGTACATGGACACCATGGACTATTTGGAGGGGTTGGCGCACTCAGCCTCGGGGGAGCCAGGTGGAGAACGGAAAGAGGACACTAAGGAGTGGTATGAGGAGGAAGGTTTCCTGAGCTACCTTGACGAGCTGTGCTCCCAGAACGACTTTGTCACCCAGGTGGGCTGGCTCAGAGCTCCGGGTCCACAGATTCCAGAGGGTGGCTCTCCAACAGCCAGACCTGGGTTCTGCCCAGGCCAATGGATTGAGCTCTGTTCTTGGTTCCTGAGCTGGGTGCATGCGTGGGTGTCAGTGAGTGTGTCTGTGTGTGATGTGCGTGTTGTATGTGAGTGGTGTGTGCTCTCTATGTGCATGTGGGTCTGCCCTTATGCTTGTATGTATATGTGTCCCCAGGTGTGTGTGTGGCTGATGACTAAGATGGAGTAAAACACCCACCTTGTGCATGAGGATGGGGTGTGTGTCTGCTTTTCTACTTGTCCTCGGTCCTGCTGACTCATAGGTTACTCCCTTGCAAGGATGCTCACAGCTTCTTTCTTGTCTCCCAGTTGGAGGAAGTCATTCACCCGCTATTCATAGCACGAGCGCTTTCCCCAGGAGCAGACATGGATCTCTTGGACTTGGCTGAGAAGATGGAGCAGGAAGAAGGAGTCTCTCCTGCCCAGGTGAGCCGGGGGAGGGTAGGACCTTAGGAATATGGAAGGGAGACTCCAGGTGAGCCAGGGGAGGGAAGGACCCAGGCGAGTTAAAGGACAGAGGGACCCCAGCTAACAGAGTGGATGGAGGGTTCCAGGGGGAGTCAGGGAGGGAGGGATTCCAGGTAGATTGGGGATCGAGGAATCCCAGATGAGCCATGGGAGGGTGCACCCAGGTTAACCAGGGCAGGAAGCATCCCAGAACAGGGGTGTACAGGACTGTGCACCCCACCATGCCGGTAAGCTGCATGCCCAGGGGCCAGCTCCGGGTGTGTGCAGTCAGGACAACAAGGAGAGGACTAGAGAGAGAAGAGGATGATGGGAAGGAGAGGGTGTGGAGCCCAGAGGGGAAGCAAGCACACAGGCTGGGAATGTGGCACAGGGGACAGCAGCAGAGCCACATGTACGGTTTTAATCTGAGTCACTGTGCCACCCTCTGCCTTCCTCCCCCCAACGCCATTGTCCCATCACCCAGCTCCTCCTCCTCTCACACGTGTGTGCAGAGCCAGTCACTGTCCCCTTTCTCACAGCTGGTAGAGGAGCGGCTCCTGGCCTCAGAGAAGACAGAGGGTGTGCAGGCATCCCCGAGTCATGGCGCAGCCCTGTGGGACTCACGTCCTTCTCAGTCTGTGGCTGGCCACGATGCCCAGAGCTGTGACCTCGGCCCCCAGCTGGGGGGCAGTGAGAAGGCCAGCCCACCGGAGACCGACTTCAAGGACCGTCAAAGGCCCCATCTAACAGACGCCCACCTGTCGGGGCCCAGGGCTTCTGCTGTCTCTTCAGGACGTCAGGAGCACCCACCACTCCGGGCTCAATGTCCCCCCTCAACTCCCCAGGATCGCGGGTGCACTTACTCTGGACTGGGACCCAGGGAGGCCTCCATTCCCAGAGAGCCCCCTCTTGTTAGGGAGCCTCGCAGGCCAGTGGACAGGTCCAGGGAGGATGAGGGGGACCTGCCCAGCCTGGCCTTCCTCTCGGCCTCTCCTAAGAGCCTGCTGCCCTGTGTGCTGTCCCTGAGCCCTGTCCCTGCCTCGGGCCGTGTCTGCCCTGGAGCTCGGGGGTCCCGGGGAGCTGCCCAGTCTCGGTTCTATCAGACACTAGGCCTCAGCCGAGCTCCACCCTCAGCTTCCAAGTCCAGGAAGCATGCTCTGGGTGGAGGCCTGGTCCATGCTGAGAAGACCCCCCTCCCAGGGGCAGAGCTCGGGGTCTCTGGGAGGCCAGCATTGGCTCTGGGGCTGGGTAGCTCCTCACAGCCTCAGAAGAGAAAGAGTGACCAGTCTGTCCCTGGGGGTTGGGCGAAGCGGCACTGCAGCCAGGATGTAGCTGTGGGGTGTTCCTCCCGCTGCCAGGCCCCCGGGGGGCCCAGACTAGATGTGACCTGGCTGTCCCCCAGAGGAGCCAAGAGCTCCTTCTCATCCCAGGGCTGATCCTGGCTGTTCTCCTGACATGGAGGGTGGAGGCAGGGAGGGGGGCAGGACCGTTAGGGTGGGGGTGGGTCTGGGGGTGGGCCTGGGGGTGGGGCAGGAACAGCACCTTGGGGACATTGTGTCAATTTTGAATAAAGATGGTTTTGTTGGAAAATGCTCTGGGGGTTGCTGTCTCCACACTCAGATCTACGATGCTCCTTAGAGAGGGGACCTGAGAGGGGGAAGGATGCGGGGTGTCAGGGGTGCTGTGGATCCACAGGTGACCCTAGAGACCCCGCTTCCAGACTGACAGGGATTCTCCCCACTGCTCCTGGGAGCACACAGCTCTCCACTCCCAGGCACCCTTCCCATCTCTTCTGCTCCCCACTGGGTCAGGGGCCACTGAACTGGTCAGACAATGGGGTGAGGGAGTCTCAGCTCATCCAGGGTGTCCTGTGTGGGTGGCCTGACCAGAGAGGACATGGTTTGGCCTCAGGGGACAGGGTGTCTGCCTCTGGGCCTCCTGGTAGGAGACGCATCCTCTAGACTCAGTGGGATGATTGAAAGTGCAGGATGGTGGAGGGGTGAGGCCAGAACACAGGGTGACAAGCCTGGTAATGGTGGGTACTTGAGAAGTGACAGTGGGTGGGGTCGATACCAAGTCCCATGCTAATTTCTGGGTGGGACCACCTTACCCAACTGAGCGGAGGATCCATCTGCTGTGGCTGAGGGACGGGGCTCAGGGACAGTGGTCTTCAAGGACACCCACAGCTACTGTCCCTTCCCTCCTACCATGGCTGCACTCAGTGTGAGGAGATGCTGCGCAGATGTACACTCACGTGGAAACAGTTCCTACTCACAGACTGTCACCCAGTGTCACAGCACAGCCAGCAGGGGCTGCAGGGGCCCAGGTGTGTGTGGCCACAGGGCTGGTGGGAGCTGGAGATTCAGGCTGAAGGAGGGTCCCCAGTCACCCTGCTGTGGGCACTGGGACAAACTGACAGTCTAAACAGGGGACACAAACCCCAGTTATAAGAGTGAGATGAGCCAGCAGTGAGGGACAGGAGCTGAGACCAGGACATCTGTCTGGAGAACTGCCTGGTCCCAGCTCTGCTCCCACGGGGCCACGCCCTGGCCCTCACCCCTTTCCCCCTGGCCAGTGCCTGCTCTCCAGGATTGCAGTTCTGATTCCTTCCCTGGGCCAGGTGGTGTCAGGACCGCTGAGCCTCCCTGAGCATGGCCCCGGCTCCACCCAGCACGCAAAGCTGTGGCCCAGGACTGTGGTCTGGCAGCAGCGACGGGAAGGGGCTGAAGCCGTCCAGTTCCACAGGTGGCCTGGGCCCCACAAAGAGCCTGGGTGAGAACGGACTCATGTCAGGGCCCCGCCCCTCCCACAGATCGCAGATCAGCCCACAGGCCCTCGCTGCTGCCTTCCCTCCTGCTGGGCGGAGGGCAGCACCCACGTCTCCCCGCCCACCTGGGCACTTTGTGAAGGACACGTCTCATCTTGGTCACACTTTCCCCAGCTGCTGCCCCTTCCCTGTCTACCTGGGTCTCAACGCGGAGAAAGGGCTCAGAGGTTGTGTAGACTCGGTGAGTGTTGTGGGGCTGGTCCAGGAGCTGCCACCCCTCGTGAGTGAGCATCCTCTCCACATGCCCACCCGAAGGGACCCTGC